ATCCGTGCTCATGAGAAACCTTAACTTGCCGTTTTCTTTTCTTGCAATATGGTTTTTTTGGGGTTTTGAGATTAAAAGGTAATGCTGGCCTCATTGACTGAATTGAGGAGTGTTCCTTCATCTCAATTGTCTAGACCAGTTTGGATAGAATTGGTATTATTCTTCCCTACGTGATCGGTAGGCGTCCCCACCAAAGCCACCATAACCTGGAGTTTTCTTTGTAGGAACATTTTTAACTATAAATTTAATTTCTTTAATAGACACAGTGCTCTTTGGGTTATTTTTTTTTTCCTTCAGTAAGCTTTGGTAATTTGTGTCTTTGAAGAAATGGGCTCATTTTATCTGAATTATGAGTACTGAGTATTTTTCCCAACGTATGTACGCCAGGTGGGTGGGAGATGGCAACGTTTCTAGTAGCTGGTTATCCCATTTTTAAGATTTCAAGGAAGCAGGAACCCCCGCCCCAGCCCTTTCTCTCAACCACCTAGTGTGCCCTGTTGGTCAAATTGGTCAAATTATCTCACTACGATCCCCTTTGATTTCATCCAAACCCAATTTCTTGACTTTCTGGTGCCACTGAAAATAACTCTTGGTTATTCTAACAGTAATTTTTGCTGAAAACGCCCCTGAAGCATTTTAAAGTTAAATGGGCAGGTAGAAAAAGGAAATGTGGTCCCCTGGCCCGGCGTCATGGCACTTGCTGTCACTGCCGTTCAGCATCAGGAAAATGCAGAAAAGCGGTGACATGTCACGGGGAAGGCTCCAGCCTTGCGTCTGAGAATCCAGAAGCTTCAGCCAAAACCTGGGCTCAGAGAAGCTGCCAGCGCCACAGCCTGGCTGGGCTCCAGTGTGTGATTCAGCTGCGCCACCGTCTGGGCAATGCCCCTTCTCTCTGTCAGCTCGTCCGTCACAGGCACACACGACCCCACAGCAGAGGCCCCAACACTGGGCTTCTCCCCTCGGCTCCCAGCCAGCACTTTCCCGCCTAGCATGACACGCATTTCTCACGAAGGTGGAAATTACTCAGGTATGCCTTCAACATGACCAAAACACAAAAACCCATGACATCAAAAAAAAAAAAAAAAAGGCACTCAAAGTAAACCCCAGAAGCCTTTGCTGGTGGACTGTTGCTGGCTTTCCCTATATTTGACGGTAAATTGTCATTTTTCAAGGGAAGGTTTTTCTTACAATGGTGACGAGACATGGGATTTAGGAAAGAAAGCGTATGTGGGGGGAGGGGGGACACACGGCTCTGGGGTACAAGGAGCAGGGCTGCTCCAGGCTCTGCCATGTCGTCTTCCTGTCCCAGGAAGGAGAGCGGCGTTCGGATCGGAGCACTGGAACAGCGTTTACACTTGCGTCTTCAGAGCCCCTCCACGAGGTGCAATTTCCCATTCGTTACCTGTGAATAGGTTGGTGAAATCAAGTCTCCCACCTGGCGACACACTGCACAGCCTCATCCCTTCCCATTACTGCCTGGTGCAGGAACTGACGGGCCGAAAATTAACACCATTGATCTTCATGTGAATATATGGTCAACAGGGCACCACTTTTTCTGATCAATGATGCTGATCAATTTCCTAAGGGAAAAAAAAGGGGGGCCTCCTTGGCATCAGAATGAATTTATGTGCCTCCTACGTGGCTCTCACGCACCTCGGGACTGGTTTCTGCACAGATAACAGACGACCTTCCAAGCACGATGAGGAATTTAGAGGAGCGGGAGGGATGGGAAGTCAGGCACCTCGTATCAGCGCCTGCCACAGCGGGGCCACCCGAGGGGCCACCCCACAGAAGGGGCAGCCACCAGTGGTCGTTGGTGCCACTCCTCAGTGGAGAGGACAAGGAAAATGACTCGCTTCTCCCCAGGGACGGCCAGCGGGCACAAGACTCGGTCCTGTCAGACGAAATCCTAAGTCCGGGGGTCCGATGTAAAGGCGGAGGGTGAAATCAGCGAGTGTGCTGTCAGCCCCAAGCCTCCCCCTTCACGTCCTCCCCTTGCCCCCCCACCCACCAGTCAGAGCTTAGCTGCCAGGCTAAGGGCTCGTGGTGTCACTCGGCAGGGGTCATCTGTTCCCTTCAGCAGGGGTATTTGTGTTTCAAAATAAAACGCTGGAGAAAGCAGTGCTCTGCCGGAGAGAAGGAGTCTCCTGTTGAAATTCCATGCAGGAGCTGGCCAGTGACTGCACCGTCGGGGGGCAGGCGACGGGGGCATTTTCTGGTGCCCCGGAGTCTCCCTCTCTTGTGCCTCAGCAGGAGGTGGACCCTCCCTGTGCCTGCCAGCGGGCGTCAGATGCAGCCATTGTGCCTTCTTTAGCAGCAGCCTCTGCCAGGGCCGGAGGCACGAGTCTCCCAGGCAGCCTGTGGGCGGCTCAGCACTCCCGCTGGCCTCTCCGTGGGGGCCTCTCCGCCGCAAGCACGTGCTGTCCCTTGAAAAGGAGGAGAGAAAATCGCCATCAAGTGCTTCCTAGCCCAGATGTCACAAATAAGTGTCACTGTATGGTCTCTAACGTCGAAATAAATAAATAAACAAACCTTAATTGGAAGCAATTTTGCTAAGTAACTTCGACTCCCTTCATCTCAGTTCCTACCTCCATAAACGCAGAAAAGGACACTTGTCACGTGAAATTCAGGAGCTCACGTCCATACATCACTGCCAATGCCGCATTCTTTACTCTGCAGGTGTGACTGTCTCCTGCCCTGGTCATAACAAGGTCACCGGGCCCCTCCACAAACGAGCAAACCCGCCAGGAGCGGAACCGCATCCTCACCTTCCCGCAAGCCGCCCCACCGCGGACTGGAACAGGCCGCCGCCTACCCGCCCGTCCTGGCCGCCTCTCCTTCCTCCTCGCCAACGCGCCATCAATTTCTGAGAGTCGTGCAGCACCACGCCCCTTCCCTAGGCTATCACGATTCCTCTCCTTTTCACCTCTATCTTATGTAAACCGCCTGAGTCTGTAACTGTTCCTTCCAGCAGGGAAGGCGTTCATCAAAATGAGGTTACACTTAGTAGGGAAACATCCGGCTCCTGGATGGCCGTGGTTTTTAGCGCCAAGGGCTGCGACTCTCCAAAGCAGTCGGTAAATCGGGTTTTTGACGGGCTGGCAGGGGAGAAGCCGCCAGCCTCTGATTCAATCCTTGTGTTAGGCCGCCACCTCGTGACAGCCTCGCATATCCTGCTGGGACTGCAGACAGCCTTCATGTCCAACATTCCGAGACCTCCAGGGGAGAAAAAGTAAACCAATAAATAATGAATGCTAATATAAACTGTCATAGTCCAAGTGGCCAAATTAATATTAAAGCCAGATCTTCTTCGGGCATCAAGGAACTTCATTATACAGGAAAATAGGGTGCATAACAGACTCGACCTTTGTCAAACTCTGCATTGTGCCCTGTCACTGGATCCTCCAGCCACCTCCGCCCTCACGTTCTCGCACCTCCCCCTCCTCTGGGTCAGATGGGCTGTGGCCCTCCTCCTGGCTCCTGTGGGGACAGTGTGGTGGTGTCCCTCACAGCCAGTAGCCCTCCAAAAGCAAAGGTCAACAGGCCTCCAGGTGTGTGTTAGAGACCCATGCTCTATCCATACTCCATGGCTCTGTGGGGGTCCCCCACTGAGTCAAAAGACCTGAGAGAAATAGAGGAACCATCCCCAGCTCACAAAGAGGGCTGCAGCCCAGCCCAGAGCCTGACTGCTCCACAGACCAGCGCTGGATAAACTGGGCCAGCCCTCCTGCTACCGCGAGAGGCAGGGATGAAGCCTCACTGGTCAGGATGGACGTGGGTGCTGAGAAAACAGAAGACGATTCATAGACCAGCTGGACGTGGAGTCATTCTCCAGCCGGCAACCTCCACAGCCCAGCTCTTCAGATGCCTGAAGCCCCCCCCCCCATCGAAACTGAGAGCACACAAAGCACCTTTTCCAGGACCTGACACCTCCAGCACCGGGCGGCACAGGGGCTGCAGGGAAGCCAGACATGACCCCCATGGCTCCCTTCTTTTATTTAATAGGCAAGACACAGGGGCCCAGAGAGGCCTCGCGGCTCCTAGGAAGGATTTATCGGAGGATTCCAAATAAAGGGTGTGTGGTCTGGGGATGTAGTTTCTGTAGGTACGAAAATGTCAAGTCTGAACATGGAGACACCTGCCATCACAGGAAACACTAGAAGTATTTTTCGGTTCCAGAAAGTCCATGTGTCTACCGAAATTCTTCATCTTTTCATCCACTGCGTCCATCTTTTCCTCTCAATTATTCGATGTATTTATGTGCTTTGAAAACCTTGTCTTCCAATGCAAACATGTGAGTCATCTATAATGTTGTTCTAGTGACAGTGTTTTGTCTTGACTATGGGTCACAGTTTCTAAGAGCCTGACTGTCTTAAAGTGGCAATCAGCAGGAGTCCGTACAAACAGAGCAAAACGTTAACTGTAGAGCCTAAGAGCGGGTGCTCACTGTAAACTCCTTCCATTTTCCTGTATATTCGAAGAGGTTCATAGTAAACTTGGGGGGTTGTGTGGGCGTCACCTTCGATGAAGCCATCGAACCGCGACTTCCCGTGGAACTTCCACGAAATCACTAGTGGGAAGAAACCGTATTCGTGTTTGAAAGTTTATCATTCAGAGCTATTTAAAAAAAGGGAAGGGAAG